TGTCATTGTTCCTTGCCTGGTTTTGCATCAGTCTGGACATTTTCTGTATTGCATTCTTCATTTGAAAATGTAACAACAACAATGCCATTTTTTTTTACATAATTAACAAAGCAAGAATATAAATAAATGATTTTGTGTCACTTTTGTGTTGTTTATTTAAGTAAATAAAACAAAATCGCTCTTGGAATATCTTCTAAAGGTAAGGATTTTCTATATTTTGCCAGGGATTGTCTGGATTAATAGTGCATATGAATGTAGAGATCATTGTATCTGAGGAAATTCCTGAGCAAAAGATGTTAGCATTTTTCTCCAAAACTAGATATGCTTAATATTTTTTCCATGCAAAAACTGATTTTAAAGCTCCAGCAAATCAGAATAATTAGTTGTTCTGTGCAATGTGGACCAAAAACTAACAGAAACTTAAATCATGTTTATTTTTAAATTCATTAAGAGTTTAGTTATAATGTCATACATTATCATACAAAGCAATTAGTCTCCTTGTTAACATACTTCGAAAGATAAATGCACATTTAATCCTCACTAACAAAGTGCTTCAAACCATCTCTTTTGCTTTCACTCTGCAACTTCTTCTGAGGTGAGGGGATAACATTGTTTGGCCTTTCTTACTATCTGCAGCCTCCTTGGGTATGCACAGTGGCCCCTGGTGATTGATGATTGGGCAAGGGCAGAGGAAATCTATCCCCGGGTTACACTGCTGCTCTGGTGATGGATAGCCCCTTAGAGGTCTTGGCGGGACTGATGGGTCATGGGCCTGAGTGAGCCCAAAGCTATGAGTGGGAGTGAGAAGAAATATCAGGGAAGGAGTAATGCAGAAACCAGGAATATGATTTAAGAAACAACTAAATGTGTCTCATGACCTGTGTGTTTTGGTCTTTTGGTGTTTCGTACCATATATGCTTGCTTCTCATTACTATATGTGATTGATACATCACTTGGATTTGATTTTTTTGCATTAATATTGATATAAAATCCATGTTTTTTCCAGACTTAAATCTGAAAGCAGAGATTTTGCTCTGGCAGAAATCACCATAAGATAAATGTAGCCCTTGACCAAAGCTGTGTTAATTTTAGCTTTTGTATTAAGGACTGACACTAGTCTGTGGATGAAGATTGAGGTGAAATGGCTACATATAAGACAAAATTATTTTTCCCAACAAAGGACTTAGATATTGTCTCATAGATGACATGTTTGTATTTCTCTTCAGGCAATCCTAAGATTGCATTATATAATGTCAGTGTTTTTATTAGTTTGTGACAGCTCAGAAGCCACCAGGACCTGAGATAATCTTGTATTGAAGATAAAAGTTTTGTGCTGCCTTGTGGGACAAAAACTGTATCATCCTGCTGCAGAGAATCAACTGAAAATCAATCACAATGAATCACGGATAGCATGTACAAACTGACAGACAAATTAAACATGCTATATTTTTTAATATTATATTAGATACAGAAGATTTTTTTTTAGAATATAGATTGTCTGACAGGTTGTAAAAACACATACCTTGATGAGTAGCTGTGAGCTGAATCATAAAAAGAAAATATATTATCTTTTCCTGGTCTTATTTGATCGTTTAATATCCCCATTGTGCAGCTGACATAGTAATAAACCTCTCTACAAATTTTGGAACGGCTGTTTCCTCTCTAGACTTTTGAAGGATCCATTATTGTCTCAGAATAACAGCATTGCTGGCTGGCTTCCATGTATTCATTAAAAGGTGAGAACTGTGGACTACTTTATGACCAGCCCTTTTTTTATGCAAATGAGAAGATTTCTGCATCACTGTAAAAAAAAAAAAAAAAAAAAAAAAAAACAATAAAAGAAAAAAATAACACTCATTCTTTGTTCTGTCTGCACCGCTAGTTTGCTCTGAAGCAATATAGCACTGAGGTGGGCCATATTAGTGATAAATTGTCATGGATTATATGTCTGCACTGAAGCAAATTCGCTCCCACTGAGGTTATGGTAAATTTGTTCATGCCACAAATGATCAGACAAATTAGTGCATGCTCTGTACTCTGAACTTCATGTTTTTGTATTTTGGAAAAACATGATCAATGAAGCCACAACCCAAAGAGAACATGGACAAGTTAAGTCAAGTTTGAGGCATTGGATCTCTCAGTATAGACTCAAACACTGAACTATTTCTTGATATTGTGCAGCTTGAAAGTGCTTTTAAATGAGGTACAATTTAATTTAACCTTCACAATAGGAATAAAAAATTATAAATCTGGTATAAATTTTCCTGATGGAAAGGGTTTTTCAGCATGACAGACTATTGATATTCAATCACTGCTTTTGGGATTCCTAACTCATTGATTTCTTGTTTCGATGTTTGCATGTTTTACGGTACTTTCAGCACAGTTCATTTTCTCTAGCCTTGATATCGCTCTATGAGCCGCTTCACCATTGTAGATTCTCACAGTAGTTGGTTAATCTCTGGTTGGGTCTTAACCAAGTTCGGAGCATCTCCATTGCAGCCTGTTCCTCACTGTTATGACTGTGTACATGGGCAGGATCCTGCCGCTGCCAATGGCGACACTCCTCCATGCAGAGAGGCTCTCTGACAGCAGACAGCATGTACGCCGGTTCACCAATGTTGTTGTTAGGAGATTGCAAGGTTTGGTCTTCATTCATGCAGTCACATAAATCTGTAAAACTGCAAATCTGCAAATCTGCTGTCAATCAAATCGTTTGCATGCAATACACCACTTGGAACGGCTTGTAGCCCTGAAGTGGTTCAGAAAAATGGAGAAAAACCATCTGCTAATGAAGGCGGATTGGGACAGAATCGGCTACCGTGGAGAAGCAGCTTAACAGGACTCTGCTGAAGTGAAGGAAGATAAGAACATTTACATCAATCACCTCTTGGATTACAGCAAATAATTTTCTATTTGGCTTTTTTTCTGAAACTGGGGAGCTGGCTGACAGCTGGCAAGCTCCATTAATCATACTATGAGGATTTGAATTTGTGTGTTTGGCAAATTTTGTGAAGACTTCTGATTTGCCAAAGGGCTGAGCGAGCTCCCATGCGAATAGCAATTAAACATAAGTCTCTTGTGGAGACGTCAGATCATACTCTAAACTGGTGAGTCTGAACTGTGTCTCATTTTTACAAGCTCTGCCTCAGACTATAGGTGTCTCTTGGGGACGACTTCGTTTTTGTTTTTTTTTCCCTTTGTAAAATCTTTTGGATTTTATATTTATGCTTTGTCCTCAAAATGGGTGTGAAGGGATTTATAAGCCCCTTTGCATCTGACAACCTCACATTTGTATTTTCACACAGGCTTCAGTACTGTGGTGCTTCAACAAGCAACGGCTGAAACTGATGACCAGCTTTTCTGTCTGCTTTTATTATAAATGTCTGGTTAAAGCTCCAGATTGACTACTCTTCCATTATAATGCTCTTAGATGTGCATACAAAAATATGCACATCAACCGTCATCAACCGTTAACATTTCCTTTTTTTTTCTTAGTTAATTTTTTGTCATAGATAATGGATTTATAATATCTCCAGCTTCTCTTGTTTATGCTCTGTTTGGACAAATGTATCAGCAAAAATATTTTCGAAAACATAGTTTACTGACATGATGGGAAAATATGGAGCACTCAGACTTAAATAAGGTCTGAGTGCTGAAAAGGACATCACAGCATGTGTCTAGGAGGGCTACTGGTTTGCCTGGCATGCAATAAGGGCGTTGGAAGAAGCAAACGGGACAAAATGGCTCTGTTCTGATGGACAACTGCCCAGGACTAAATTATTGCAGTCACCGAGGGTTTGAAGTAAAAAGAACAACACTTGTTCGAAGCAAAATGAGGTTTGAGGCCTCTTCTGTCTGAGGACACGGAGCAATTGGAAAACACCTACTGCTTGGAAAGTGGGATGCTGAAAAAGCCTGAAAACCTATCGGTAAAGGGCAGGAGTGCAAACTCTGTAAGATGCTTCCACACGGGGCCTAAGACCTTTGTCTGCTTTCTCTGTCATAATATGAGATGGAGGCAGTCAGCGGCTACTTAGTTCCCTTGGATGGGCTGGGGATTTATTACACACTTGTCCTCTCCAGGAGGCCTGCTTGATACCTCTGATGCAGTGCACACGCTGTACTCATTTGGCTTCAGACCAGAAAAGGTACTGCAGTGGCAGAGATGTTTCACTGAGGTGGCTGGTAATTGATATATGACTTCAGCCATCTGAGGGGTGAGCAGAGGAAGAGAGAAAAGCAATTTGTGTCTCAGCTTGGGTCCTTCTCGACAGCTTCAGAAAGCTCTCCAATTTTGCTTCTAGTCTACCCATTTTGTCTGAGGATAAATGCCTAGCTGAGAATTTTCTTTGATTGCATAAACTAAAATCCACACACTTGTAATGGATGGCATTTTTGACCTCTTCGAAAGGTTTGAGGTTTTTTTTTTTATACATAGCTAGGACATGCAATGTGCACTGGAGGAGGAAATGGAGAGATGTCATTCATTTTTTTGTGTGTGCTGATAATTGATTGGAGAGATGTTTGAACTGACAGCAGAAGGTAGGGGAAGAATTCACTACCTTTATAAGATTTAGAGGTTCTGCTCAAACCTCCCCACAGACTCTTTAATATAATAATTTACTTACCTCAGTGTTTCAACTGCTAAAACCCTTTAGAAACAGAATGTGCAACTTACATCCATTGTCAAGAAATAGGTTAGGAATAGCAGTAAGAACATTGCTGCATTGCTGGAGATATTATAAATCCATAATCTATGAGAAAAATAAATGCTTTTTGAATGACACTTTCTGAATTTTTTTACTGCGTCATATAAAAGTGATGAGAAATGCATTAGATACAATTTTAAAGCTACATCTGTAAATATAGAAAAGTATCTTGCTTTTAATATAAGAACAACAAATTCACTCCATACAGACTCCGACATAAAAAGAACCAGAAATGATTGTTAGAGTATTTAAAATGAATATTTATTAAATATTGATTTTCATATCCAGTTCGTCATTCTGTGGGGCTTTAAGGTGATTTTGATGTGGTGTGTTGTCCTGTGATGAACCGGTGACCTGTCCATGTTGTCCAGGATATACCATGGTTCTTGCTCAATGACCATTGGAGATGGACAGTGGTTCCCTGGTAACCCTGCAAGGTCAAACAGTGGACGGACAGTGGACGGATTGGTGGATGGACGGACGGATAGATTGTTCAAAAAATTTTTGTGTAAGGTGTTCTGCAACTTTGTGCTTTCCAGCAGCTGCTTTTGGATTTCACCAGGATGAGGTTCATCAGGATATTGTTCAAATTCTGAAATGTTGGTTCAAAAATAACTCAGTTTTTCATATCAGTAAGTTTGAGTATTGTCCATCTCTGTGGCGTAGTTTTTGTGATTAACTGACATTTATTCCTAAGTAAAGCTCATCTCCCTTCCACCATCCCAGCTAAAAACTCATCAGCTGAAGGGTTTCTGTATTTTATGTTTTCTCCTACATATTATAATGTTTCTTAGTTATTTAAGTGCCCAAAGGTCTGTATTATCATTATTATCAGGAGTTTTTAGCCGGGAGGCTTTGAGTAAACTGGGTGGGATGATGATAACAATTATAGTTGGAAGTATAAACATTTCTATTTTCTCTGTACCGAACTAACCATAAGTTGATATTTCCACCATGTCAGATGCTTAATCATAATCACTTAGTGTTGACGAAACACTGTCAGTGTTTATCTGCTACGTTCACATTTCGGTTATTGCAGAGAAAATTAAATACGCCTGTCAGTTTGTGTTTCCAGCGAAGTCCATCATATTGCGACAGTGTAAAACATTTATTTTCCATGAAACATTTACACACGTACACATACACTTCTTCAGTTTCTGTCTGCGCGTTGCTTAAAGCATGTAACATTTACACTGCTCCTTGCTGTTTATTCCATAAAGTCAAAAATAAATAATTATACGAGAGTTGAACATTAAAAGGACACTGACTACACCTAAACTTGAGCAGTACATTTATTTTAACGAAATGTGTTAGAATTTTATATAATATATTTTACATAATGACATATTTTATATAAGAGATATTGTATATTGAAAACCAAGAGTGGGACTCCTGCCTTAATGGTCCTTCTGAAATCCTGTGGACCATTGTAGCACATCTGAAAAGCCTCTTGACATTAATTAAACAACCCTCTGTTGAAAGTTACTCCTACTTCTGTCATGAATTAAACCATAAAGTCAAATTAAATTTCTTCTTTTTGTCTGTTCAGTTTCCTCTTACTTTTTTAGGCTGATGCAGCGAGCAGCTCTCTCTTCTTCCACATCATTCATAATACATAAGTCAGATCATAAAGCTGGTGATCAAAATTCGTTTTTTTTATACTCTCTCCCTTCAAGGTCCATTTTTCTTTTATTATTTTCATCTTCCTATCCAAATGGACACACATGCACATTCGCACATGGACGAACTCACAGTGATCTGGCTTCAGAAGACTTTGCTTTGAGTTGCATCATTTCCAGGAGACGTACGCGGAGGCTCACCTTAGAACTTTCATTCACCTTGAAATTTATGTTACTGAAACACACACACAGACATACACACACATTGTTATCTTAAAATATGTTTGACTTTCTTTTAGAAAAGATGTTTTTTTTTTTATGGAAGTGATCTTTGATTTTCTTGTCATAACACTAATTCCTGTTAAATAGGAATTAGGAGAGAGGCTGTCTATCTCAAGAAAAGTATTCTTTTTGAAAACTGAAAGTACTTTTCTGGGCTACGGATGGGGGTCTAGAAATAGCTCTACAAAATAAAAGAGATTCTGTAATTTACTCTGGAGTCTTTTTATACTGAAATGACTTCTGACTCATGTTGCATTATGCAGACTTGAAATCAGTCTGCAACTAGAGAACAGGATAATCCAAGCCACTTTTGAAAGGTATTTACTTGTCACAAGCAAGTTACTGCTGTCTTTGATTTATTTTGAGCTGAAACATTCATTGACAAAGGAAGAACCTAATTTGAGGAACAAAAATGCAACTTTCAAGCTGGAATAGAAAGCAGATGCTTTTTCAGTTTTGACCTGATCAGTTTATTTCTTTGTATTTTACTGTTATAATGCAGTTCATTCACTTTTGCTTATGTTATTTTATGCTTGTGTTCTATTAATTGCACATTTGATTTTAATGTTCTCAGATTAGTGCCAAGCATGTTTCTTTTTGGTTTCTGGATCCTAAAAGTCCTATTAATTAGTCTCCTCCATCAGCTTCCCTGCTTTCTCCTCATCACAGCTATACCACATTTGCTCTGATTAGTTCATGTGATTCTTTTGCCACTTCCCACTCATGCCACAGTATTTAAACTCCTGATTTTTCATTTCTCAGTGCTGGATTCTTCTGCTTTGTCTTGGTTATCCTGTGTTTTACTGTTCAGGCAAGACCTAAGCTTCAAGCTATAAAACTTTGTGGTGTTCATCTCTGTGCTGTTTTCACATTAGTTGTATTTCCCTAGATATATTTTACGCCTGTGTACTTTTTAGCAGCTATTGTTATTAACTAAATTTAATGTTTTTGGTGGTTGTTTGCATGTGTGTTTCTTTGACTTCTGAATAAGCACATTTAATTGGCTGAAAACCGATTTGACTCCGCAAATTGGGGTTTTTGACATGTTTTTTTTCTTTCTCAAAATAAAAATAATTTTATTTTGTACTGCAATGTGGATATTTATTGATTTACTTTAACTGTTGTTCGCACTGCATTCAGGCATAAGGAGCCTCCAAAGGTGATGCTGTCAAAATTGCCCACTCACTCAAACTGCCTTAACCCATTTTCTTTTTATTGCTGTACACAGGGGCTGTTAAACAGAGTTGTCCCTCATTTAACCACACTGCCCAGGAGCTACAGGAGTCGTAAAGGACCAAGTAGACAAAAAGGCATTGAAGGACCAACGGATCTCTTTAAGATTAGGAAAAGCGTGTATGTGTGTACATGTGTGAACCATACAGTGATGTGGATAATAACTCCTTTTATTCACCAGTGGCCCTGAATGTCTGAGAAGCCACTGCAAATCCTCCTTTTTTGCAGACAAAGCAAAACGCCACCGGGAGAGAAATGAGTTTTATTCTAAAGCGTCGTCTCATTCAACAGATTACATCCCTCTCCATCTTAGGTGACTGCACACAGCCTGGGATTCTGGTGACACTGACAATATGTGGTGGCTGCCTCCTAAATTTAAAGCCAAACTGGTAGTGCAGCACTGATGCTTTGGGAATTTATTCCAACACTGTGTTGCCTGAACCGAAGTGGTTCCATATAAAATCCATATTTTTATTCAGTCAACCCCTAAACTGTGAAATAAGAACAACTATGCCCCAAAACAATCCATTATTTCTAAAGAACTTAATCCCCTCTATTTTTACTTCATGTTCTTCTCTGGGTGCATTTTGCTTGAAGCTAGAACTAATTGAGATTTTTAAGTGTATTTTTCATAATACCAGTAATTAATTGATTTTTATAAATGTACAGTCTTGTACTCGCAGCAGTTAAGAAATGATTACGGTACAAAAGCAACGTAAACATGTACATTTCCTTCTTAAAAAATGTTTTTATTAGCAAACATTGGTGTGGTCTTCTGAATATTAAGAACCATTTGTTGTTGTTTTTATCCATCTTCCCTTTAAAAAACACTTTCTCTCATATAGAGACCAGTAGTTGTTTTTTGTGTGTGTGTGTGTAAATGGTTTTCTTTAGAGGGATGCTGACTCTATACAGCATTTTCCATTTGTATATGGACTTCCAAAGACATACATAAGCCTGCAAAAGTGACATCTTGTAATGTGTTTTTACCACATGCTGTGCAACATGTAAGCACAAGAGCTGTTTACGTTCTAAAAAGAGCTCAGATATATTTTTTTTAGCCCACAATATGATCATGAATAGCGCTGTTGTTTTGGTAGTTGTGCTGATAAGTCACAGCAACTTCTTTTCCCAACTGGATAAGGAATTGCAGGAGAAGTGGGAATGGTTTGTTCTATGCTGTTACAATTTTTATCAACATCCAAATAAAGAAAATCTCACCTGTGGGCTTATAAAAACGTATTTTTTCTTTATATAGTGAAATGATGGGAGTTGTCCAATTTGCTGTGCACACAGATGTTCTGTGGGACTAAGATCAAGGCTTTGTAAGTAATTTGATGGTACAATTAGGAGCATTGTCCATTTGGAAGATCTGTTTGCGTCAAAGCTTTATTGAGATGTTGCAGCAACAAGTTTCCATGGCCAAAACTTTAATTCTTTAACTTCTCTTGGGCCACCAGGGTTTAATTTTTCTTCAAAAGTCTGTCTGATGGGACTCTAGAATGTGTACTGGAAAATTAGTACAGTTGTGTACTTACTGGCCTTTCAATCCATCTAAAATACAATCTTAGTGAAAAAACCTGTTGCAGTAAGCACAGACATCCCCAACGCTAATGTCAGCATTCACAGTCACAATTTTAAGGTTTTTTTTTTTAAAGAAGCTACATGAATGAGTATAACAGCACTTTGCACCAATCTGATAGTTGAATAACCTAAATGACAAAGTTAAAACAAAAATATATTTATTGTTGAGCTCATTTGAACATAAACAAAAGTACAAAGGGTTTCTGAATTGAGATTTATTGATTACTTCAATTAACGTGGTTAATAGTTTTCATTCAGCCCCACCACTAGTTTTTTCTCATGATGCTACCAACATGCCTCCAAACCATTTACTTATTAGACCTTAGTAGAACTAAGACTCATTGTCCCTTTGTGCACTTGTAAACTGCAATTGGACTTTTTATGTTGCTTTTTGGAGTAGAGCAAACTAGTATGGGTTTATCAGGCATAGCATTGCTGCTAATGCACCAGGTGTAATGTCTCCTTCCTCCCTGAGTGGCTGTTGAACAGCCAGTGATCAGTCCTGTATCTGCTCATTCAGCTTCTTCACAAATGTTTTTTGTTCTGAGGATGATGCACTAATTTTGCAGCCAAACACTTCCATCTCTAGGACACAGAACATCTCTGCTTCCTGAATATATTATAGCAGGTCATTCCTCTGGTTTTCATAATTGCACATAATTCTTTGAACTGATGAACATAAACAATATAGAATGAGCTATATAATCTTGGCTGCTTCGTTTAGATTTGTCCGTGATATCACCCTGCTATTCACCCTTGCTAAGGAGCTGAAATTTACTTAGTAGAACTTTTCTCAAACTCATTTTTTTCAAGTAGTCATTAAGAAGCATGAGAAAAAAATGTATAAAACACGTAGAGGAGAAAAACAAGCTATAAAAACCCTTTCTATAAGACAATATTTTTTCTGAACCGGTACAAAACCTTTTGGGACTTTCAAATGAGGCTGATTTTGGCAAGCATTCCTCGGGTTTAATTACCCTATGCACATGAATCAGGAAAGCAGCTCGCTCTAGTTTTTATCAGATTGCCTTTGCTGGTTCTCACCATGTTTCTTTTCTCCCTTTTCCAATTCACTTGGACCCTTGCACACCTTCTTTCTATTAACAGCATCTGACATGTACATCTGGTATCTGCTATGTGCAGGAAGCGGCGGGAATTACGTCTTTGCAATGTTCTTTTTGTTGTCTGCAGCCTTAATGGCATGACTCATTCTGTGGACAAATGTGCATCCTGCTGAACAAACCTCCCCACAGCAGAGCTTTGCCAGCTCCAGGAACCTAAATCCTTTATATTTTATTATTTTTTTAAATCAAAAGTCCACCAGTTATTTACTCATAATGTGCCAAATAAAAGAATTAAAGTTTTTTTTTTTCTTTGAACCGCTGTGACAGCTCTTGCATGAAACACAGGTGATTTATCTATTTTTGATGTGACTGCTTGTTTTGTGCAGCCCTTTCTGTACATCAGTGTCTGTCATTCAATCAGGGATCTCTCAGCTCGCACAGTTCAGTTGAAGCTTTGATTTAATCGAAGAATTAAGTCTTTCTTTCAAGAATTAAGTCATTTACTTTTATTCATGTTTGAAATAAAAGTACTTATGAGTTCAAACAAATGCTGTCTGAGATGCAGCAGCGTTATTCCATGAAGTCTTGTATTACAAGGATTTTGTTTTCATCTGTCACCCTTTTCTGTCTCTGGTGTTATTCTATGCTGAGAAATGATTGAATGCCTCTCTTGCTTTAACACAAACAGCTGAAAAACACCTGAACAACTGCACCACAGACTGAGATAAATGACTATAATCTATGAGTGATTGGACTCGTGGCTGCTTTTCTCTACACCGTCTCTCCTCCCCTCTCCACCCACCATCTCCTTTTCTTTTCTCATTGCCTACTTCTACGCCAAATTGAAATTCAAATGAGCCACAGTGTGCTGAAGCAAACTGTATTAGTCTGCCATATCATGTTGTCGTCACTTCTAAAACAAACAGTGCCCATGATGAGATCAAATTAAAACTTTACATTCACATGAATTTGGGATGTTTCCTGTTTAAACATTCATATGTGTAATTTGTTTTATTAGATTAATATTCCCTGTTGAAACCACAGCTAATTCCAATAACAAACGGCTACAATGATTGTTGGGCAACCTTAAACCTTCTGTAATGACAAATTCAGACATCTGGATTTGTTTAATAGCGTCATATTACAAATATGTTTTTTACTTATCCAATCTGACTTAATTGTTAAAATAAAAAATTATTCTTTATAATAGTTTTTATTTTTGTCACCATTTTGCTTCTGTTTCTCTGTTGATCTGCTCTCCCTGTTATCTGTGTGTGCATGTTTCTAAATTCTTACTCACTAAGCCTGATTTGAATAAAAAGGTAGGCTGAAACCTGAAAAGAGGCCATATTAATCACAGAAGTCTAAAATTAGAACTGTGAGACTCCGTTGGCACACTTTAAATGGAATATTCAATTGTTTTGCGAGTGTTGAAGTACAGCTTTTATTGCACACGAAATAAATTACAGTTGAAAAGTATATGAGCATGAGGATCATGTCGGCTTTAATTGCATCCAGTTGTGACTCTAAAATTAGACGTGAACCATTAGTTTCAAGATGACTTTTTCTTTTTTGCTATTTATTGCTATAATTATGAAATTAGAATGTATTTCTCGTTTTTGTTTTTTTTTTTTTTTTTTTTTACATTTTTGGTGTTAGGGTTAGGGTTTGCAGCTTTGTGCCATTATATTATATTAATTTCCAAGCCTAAAACCGGGTAATATGAATGGGGATGAAAAAAGTGTGAACAGGGCAGCTGAGAACTCAGCTGAAAGTTGCTGAAGAGTGATGTTATTTTTGAGATAACTGCATTACATAAGGCCCATCTGAGACAAACGTAGTCACTGCAAAGTCTCCAGCTCAAATTTGAGTTTAAAATTTAAAGATTTATATGGTGTTTGATTCAGTAAGGTGGAAAAGTCTGAGTACTGATCGAGTAAATTGATTGCAAGGAAAGCAATTGATTGCTACCAATTTCTGTAATACAAAAACATACATTTGACTTGTATTACCTTCCGACAGTCACCTTTTACTTTCATGTTATCAAACACTCCCTCCTTCATTTGGATTTTGATGATGCAGCTAATTATTCTGCTTAGAAAACAAGATGGAGGATTGTTGGAAGAAAGGTGTGTATTGAATTAAAGTAATCTGCGGAAACCAGAAAGAAAGACGACAAATGAAAAAGTAAAAAATAAAAAAGCACTGTAATGGAAAGCATTTTTGCTGATAAATCTTTTTCTGACAAACCTTTTTTTTTTGTTGCTGACAGACCTTTAACTCCCAAACAACAAACCTCAGGTTTGAGTTGTTCCTGACTTTAAAACCAAGAATCCAGTTGTTTCACAGGAGAACTCTAGTCACAGCATCTGCTTCTCCCTGTTTTCTGCATAGATGATCTTACTCCACTCTTTTTCTCTTTTGCAAACATTTGTATTCACTTCTAGTTGTCCTGGTAAAAAAGGAAAAAAATTAAAACTTAACAAGAAAACAGTCTTTGTCATATTTACAACAAAAGTCAATTAGACGTTGAGATCTCAGACGTCTTCCATACATGGATTTGCTTCTTTTTGTTTGTATGTTTTTTAAGGGACAGGCTCATTTTGTTGTGAAAAGCTATTTTCACAACAATTTATTGAAAAACAATAAATTAGAGTACACCTTGAAAAGGGGTCCACTAATCAGATTAGAAGAACATTTTTAAAAAAATCCTTTACTTTTCATTGTGACCATGCTTTATTGGTCAACTTCTGACTGCACTGTCTTTTATTTCAAATGCTCAGTGTTTGGGATCCACTATCACCCTTTATCGACAATCTGCGACGCAAGACGAATACATTTCCCCGACAATTCTTTTTTAATTCAGTGACTATCTTATCCATTCAATGTCACAAGGCTGATAGAACAATCAGAACAAAATATAAATGTCCACTACTATGCAAAATTTACGTTTTACCTGTTTTTGTACTACTATCTTCTGGAAATAGCCCAAGAGCAAAGAAATAAAAAATAAGACAAAAAATAAAATAAAGTAAAACAAAAACATAAAAAACACAACCAAATACTCAGTCATGTTTTGGAACAACTGCTACTGTCTATTTCAAAAAGCCCTAATAAGTTGTTGTCTCACAATTTGTTACCTAGCAACCCCTTACCTGTCAGCCGAAGTGAAGCTCCACCCACTTCATTCATGACGCAAAGCTATCGCTGCAATGGCTGCCGGAAAAGGAAAATGTTTTGATTATCGGCTGCAATATGGAGCAAGTGTCCAGGTTGCGTTTTCTCCCAGTGACATAGAGCAGAGCTGCAGTGGCTTCATTTTATTTTTGCTTGCAATGTCACTGCGATGTTGCCAAATAAAGTTAGTTGTAGTTCGCGCAAATTAGTTTAGGAAGGATTCTTTTGGCAAAATTTACCAAATGACTTGGACTGAAGGATGCAGATGATGATGAAGGATGCAGATGATGATGATGATGATGTAAGTACATAATGCGTTGTGTGTTTTTGTTTGGGAAAACACAAGGTAACGCCTTTGGCTTGTTCCATTTAGCACAAGCTAAACGAGGTATCTGCTTGTCATGCATCTTAATTATTGGACTGTCGGACTTGTAGTAAGCTGGAAGTGATTGAGAAGATGCAGTGCTTGTGAAAACATGTCAAACACCTGGATATTACTGACATTGTCCGATTTATTTATTTATTTATTTTTCATAAGGAGAGAAGTACCAACCTCGTACATTTAAAATTGCATTTTAAATTAAAAACAAAAACAAAAGAAAAAACAAAGACGTTTGTTGTGCTGAATTATTGTGCCTTTGGGTCTGCTTCAGGGCGAAATCTATATGGTGGTACCTCTATGCCTGAAGCCTCTTTCACGCGTCTGAGGATCTAATGTAAACACTAAGTTGGCAAGGCTTGGCTCACAGCAGCGCATTTGCATGAATTGTGATGCCCTAAAATAGCGCAATCCTTAAGAAGCTCAAAACAGGCAGAACTGATCGAGTGAAAAAATTTAATGAACATGTTTTGTATAGCCCACAGACCTATCTTATAAGCTTGTTCAATTAAACACAATAGCATAGCTCTGTTGATATGCAAGATAAATTAAATAATAAAGGGCAGATATTGCCAAGAACTTTTTTAAAAATCTAAATTGTGTAATTTTTACTGAGAACATATTCTTTGAAACATTGTTCTATATCAACAAACATAAATGCCTCTTTGGTTGAAAGAAAGAAAAAAAAGTGACATTTTCAAGCATTCTGATTTACAGGTTTTCTTCAGATTTTCTTTCTGTAACTACATATAGTACTCTGTGCTCTTTCTTCATAAGGTTGAATTCACTGGAAATGAAGGGAGAACTGGATATGTTTTGCTCCTGATGAGAGCCTCAGTCTGGAGCGATAGTATAAGCAACTTGGACTGCATAATGTCTCGGCAGTTTTTGTATTTACTGAACCGGAGCAGAAAAGGCATATTCCCAAAAGTAAGGACTGCAAGCAGCTCAAGCAGCAAGGGGAAAAAATCCTCATTCATCACAGTGCTGCACCAAAGGTAAAACTGAGAGGGTTTTTTGCCTCTGCAAATTTCAACATGGGGTCACCGGCCCCGCTGGTTGACTCTTGTGGTTGCTAGGTAACACAACCATTTCCATGTTTATTCAGACAAGGTCACGCATTTGGTCATCATCCTTTTTCGTTTCTCAGTGTTATAGCATCTCATAAAATCTTTCATGAGTCCTGTTTACCACATCCATTGGCATGTGTACAGACAAACCTTCTTCTAACTTCTTATGTATTGTGAAAGAATGGGTGTGATTGAAAGGAGTGTAATATTTGTCTTGGCCAAGACCAAGGCTGGTGGCCATTTGTATATTTCAACCAGAACAGAACAACTACTTTATAGTATTATAATATGGGCCTGATTATTCTGATGTTGTCAGTTGCTTTCGATTATGTGTAGAAGAGAAAGGAGAGATTAAACAGCTTGTCTCGCTTTATGGAGCTGGAACCTTTCGAGAGAGGTCCTCCATCTGTAATAAAGATCAGGATAAAGGATGGCCACAGGCTCTCACTCCATCACAAAAGCATCTCTGTTCACTCTGAAGTGTCCGCATCCTATAGTTATATTCTGATACCTGTGTTGCATAGGATGCTGTTTTCATCGACTTTTTTAAGTCACACAAAAGGGAAGTACTATGGTTTGCACACACTGTCTGTTTGGAGCTCGAGTTAAACGGACATAAATGCAGTTTTAGCTTCAGCTATGGCAAGACTTTAATTATACACTACTCTAGCACATCAGTTTATAGCTGTCAGCCCTGTTTTATGCATGGATGTGCACATGCCAGACCTGTGCACAGAAAGCATATGCTCTGTGTTCCTTTGCACGGCTTCCTGTTGCAGAACCTGTCAGCTGCTGTCAGGTTCTGTGTCTTAGTGAGACTGACGGTTGGAAAAGAGTTGCTGTGGAACCTGCTGTGGAAGTGGATGAGCATTCTGCAGCTGGCTGAACCAGCTTCCTTCTTGTAAACGGGAAAGGGCTGTGAGATTTCCTCCAGTTATTCTGCCTCTGTGCCCCCCATGCGCCTTCACAGGCTTTCTTCCTGTTGAACATAAAAAAAGACCACCATTTCTTTCTCTGCTTTCTCTTTTGGCCCCTTTTTTTTCAGACTGTCAGACAGGGAGGCACGAGTTCAAACACAAAGCTGTGACCCACACGGGGCTTGCTGCTTTGCTGACAACACTGGAGAACAAATAAGGCTGTCACACATAGGGTTTGCAAAGCAGGGATGAAGAAAACCACGTATAGCATAACATAAGGAGTAGAGCAGCTAGTGTGGTCGAATAGGAGGAATGAAATTTTATGGGAAAAGCCTGTACAGCCTGGTTGTTTCCACGTAGGTGAGTTGTTGCTTTTGGAGTTCTGTAATAAAGCTCCATAGATTTGCTTCGCAGTGACAATATTAGAATTGCATGACTAGCTCAGTTTGACTTCATCTCACACTTTCTCACTTTCCCCTTCTTTCATTTGGCAGAAGCCTAAAAACACTACTCAATGAAATCACACTCATTTGCTGTGCTATATACTTCGAAGGAGGAAATACAAGTGAAAGCGTATTTTTTGATCTTACTGGTGTCCTTTGTAATATTTCTGTACGTCTCTAAATCATTCTGCTTTTTTTCACCTTGGCTGGTTTTGCTGTAAATGTCACTGCAGTGTTTCATGGGAAAATGTCTGTTGAAGACAGAGATAATAAGACAGAGATTAGTTGTAGTATTATTCATGAATAGGAACAAGTTGCACAGTTTTCCCACCAGAAGCTGAGTAAAATAAAATGAATGTGCAGGAATTTTAAATAAAAGCACATTTGGCTCTTGGGGTTAGATAATGACCTAAATTCTTGTCTTTTTATCCCTTTGAATACTCTTAATCATTTCATCAGCCTCTCTTCTATTGCTCAGCTGCTCATTAGAACCTCTTCTTTCACCTCTCATATTTATCTCTACATTTCCATTGCTGATGAAGTCTCTGCTGTAACAAAGGCCGTGTTTACACTTTGCTCACAGCATCTGTTTTCTTTATTGCAACTTTAATTTTGAGCCACCCACTTTCGAGAACAGCTCGTTTGCACTGCCTGACAAAATCCCACAATCTGTCCATTTTCACACGCTCCAATTTAGTTTTTGCAATGTGATTTATGATTTGGTTAATGCTGTTCTTAGTAAAATTTCTCTTCTTGCTGGGATGACAGATGTTGCTAGAATATTTACCCCGTGGATTTTAATTTATTCCTGCACATGTAACTCGCAGTAAAGGTATTGCTTTTCTTTTTGATCTTTTTAGGAAACACTTATATAAAAAGAGGTTCATGTATGATTTAATCAAGTGTCTTAAGAAAGTAAAATGAAATCAAATTGGAATAGTTCACTTAATTCTGAATTTGAAACGCGTTTTAATTTTTTTCAATCCTTTAGATAATTAAAATCCTGACAAAGTCTCCTGACTTGTTTTGTCCGATGGCTTTAGCAGGGACTGCTTTGGCTCAGTCTAAGCTGACAGTAAATCGAAAATCTTAAACGCGGAGGCCATATGATCAATATCTGCTGGCAAGATCTGCAACTCCGGTGTTTAATTTAGTCAGCACTTATGTAAAGCCAAATTCGGAGTCATTTTACAACGGCTTTACACTCCGGCTGCTAAACTTTTTGTATAAAGTCGTGACTTGAGGAACTAGGCTCATCTGACGAATTATGAAGGAACTGAACCTGTGAACAAAGGGATTTTTGAATAAACCACATAAGTGGATCATGTTTTTATGTCAGCAACACACATTGTTTAGCATTTGTGATAAACTCACATTAAGTGATTTCTGTTGCTCAGAGGAATTTTTGGCTACTATATTGCTTTTATGCAACCACATTGGAGGGATTTCAGTGTTGAATGGTCTGTTTAAGGTCACACCACAGAATTTTAGATCATTCACTGGAGAGTCCGATTCCATTTTCAACACTCTATGTCTATAGTGCACACGCTGGGCTGTCATTTTTTGCTTATTAGTTTATTCTTTGTAATGACTTCAGGTGATGTTTTTGGAGGATTACTGTCTTCAAACAGCTCAGTGCAGAGAGGGTTTTTTTTTTTTTTTTCCAACGGTTGAACATCTTTACATCTTCTTCCGCAGCTTTGATTTTCAAGTTATTTACTCTGCCATTTCGCCAATATCTTCCCTTTGCGTCAGAAGGCAGTCCGGTGTCTCTATGATGGAGTTCTCCTTTGCACTTGTAGCTGTGTTTGATCTTTTGTGTGGCCTGTATGTATACCGCTTCTCGTCTTATGTGAAAGTCAAGAACAGACTGATATGAATAATTGAAGAGCCGCAGAGATACTGATTATTCCCTTGTACTGAATCCGACATCCCAGTAGCGATAGCCGGTTTGTCTGAGCGCCACAGCTTTACTGATTCTGTTATATGCTTTCTCTCATCTTCTTTCCCTAGAGATCAACTTTGGCTTAAATCACTCCACACAATGGCTTTGACAGAAAATTAAGATTTTCTGCATTGCTGCAGCAGCCCGTATAGT